AAATAGACACTTAAGCTGTTTCTGTATCTTGGTTATTTTTAATAATGCTGAAATTAAACATGGGGTTATATGTTTTAATTTCCTTTGACTATATACCCAAAAGTGGTATTGCTGGATCATATGATAGCTCTAATTGTAATTTTTTGAGGAAACTCTATACTGTTTTCCATAGTGGCTGCACCAGTTTGCATTCCCACCAATTGTGCATGAGGGTTCCCTTTTGTCTACATCCTCAATACTCATTATCTGTCTCTCAATGACAGTCATTCTAACAGGTGTGAGGTGATATCTCATTGTAGTTTTGATCTGCATTTCCCTGATGATTACTCATGTTGAGCATCTTTTCCATTCCCAGTTGGCCATGTGTAAATCTTCTTTGGAAAAATATCTATTTAGGTCCTCCGTTCACTTTTCAATCAGATTGACTATTTTTTCTGTTGAGTTGTCTGAGTTCTTTATAAATGTTGAATAGTAACCCCTTATCCAATATATGATTTTCAAATATTCTCTCTCATTCTGTAAGTTGCCCTTCCATTCTGTTGGCTCTTCGAAAGTGCAGAAGCTTTTAAGTTTGATGTAATCTCACCTGTTGATTTTTCCTTTGTTGTTTGTTCTTTTGGTGTCCTCTCCAATCTCAAGGAGCTTCTTTCCTAGGTTTTCTTCCAGGAGTTTTATGGTATCAGGTTTTATGCTTGTCTTTGAGCCATTTTAAGGTAATTTTTTTGAGTAAGGTAGGGTCCAATTTTACTTTCCTGAATCTGGTTGTCTAGTTTTCCCAACATCATTTGCTGAAGAGACTACATTTTCCTTACTGGATATTCTTGACTCCCTTATTAAATATTAGTTGGCCATATATGTAGAGGTTTATTTCTGGGCTCTGTATTCTGTTCCATTGGTCTAGGTATCTATTTTTATGCTGCTACCATACTGTTTTAATTAGTATCACTTTGTAGTACAGTTTGAAATCAGGAGGTATAATGCCTCCTGCTTTGTTCTTCTGATGATTGCTTTGGCTGTTCAAGCTCTTTTGTGGTTTCACTCAAATTTCAGGATTTATTTCTATTTCTATTTCTGTAGAAAATGCCATTGGAATTTTGGTAGGGACTGTATTAAATCTAGAGATGGTTTTGGGTAGCATGACATTTTAATGATATTAACTCTTCTGATCAGTGAATGTGGAATATCTTTCCAATTGTTTGTGTCTTCTTCAATTTCTAAACAAAGTCTTGTATTTTTCATTGGCTAGATCTTTTACTTCCTTGGTTAAATTTATTCCTAGGTCTTTTACTGTGTTTGATGTTACAGTGAATGGGACAATTTTTTAATTTCTTTTTCATGTTTCATTGCTAATACATAAAGAAGTAACTGATTTCTGTGTGCTTTTGGACCCTGCAACTTTACTGAATTCATGGATTACATCCAACAGTTCTTTTTTCCAACTGATTAAATCTATTATATTGAGAATTTGGGGTTTTCAATATATAAGACCACACCATCTGCAAATGACAATTTTACTTCTTCCTTTCTGATTTGGATGTCTATTAATTTGCCTTGCCTGATTCGCTCTAGCTAGAACTGCCAGTATTATGTTGGATCAGAGGGAGGAGAAACACGCACACCTGTCTTGCTCCTGATTTTAAAAGAAAAGCTTCTAGTTTTTCTCAGTTGAATACAGTTAACTGTAGGTAGCATTATATGGCTTTTATTATGTCCTGTACTTATTCTATTGAGGGTTTTTATCATGAAAGGATGTTGTATTTTGCCAAATGCTTTTACTTCATCTTTTGAGAGGTTCAATGATTTTTGTCTTTCATTCTATAAATGTGGTGTGTCATATTTGTTAATTTGCCTATGATGAACCGTCCCTGCATCCCAGGAAGAAACCCCACTTGGTCATGGTGTGTAATCCTTTTAATGAGTTCTTAAGTTTGGTTTGCTAATATTTTTTTGAGAATTTTTGCATCAATATTCATCAGGGATATTGGCCTACAGTTTTCTTTTAGTGTCCTTATCTGGCTTTGGTGTCAAGGTAATACTGGGCCCACAGAAGGGGTTTGAAGTGTTCCCTCCTCTTCAATTTTTCTGGAAGAGTTTAAGAAGGATTGGCATTAATTCTCCTTAAAATATTTGACAGAATTTGTCCATGAAGTCATCTGATCCTGGGAGGTTTTTAAAACCTGAGTCAATCTCCTCACTGATTTTTAGTCTGTTCAGTCTTTATATCTCTTCCTGGTTCAGTTTTAGTAGGTTGTAGGGACTATGAATTTATCCACTTCTTCTGGATGATCTAATTTGTTGGTGTAAAATCATTCATAGTAGTCACTTATGATCTTAATGTTTTTTTGCAGTGTCAGAAGTTATTTTCTCATTTCTGACTTTCAGTCTTCTTTTCTTAGTCTTGCTAAAGGTTTATCAATTTTATTTTTCAAAAAATCAGCTCTTAAGGGTTACTAATCTTTTCTATAGATTTTCTAGTCTCTAATTTTATTTCAGATCTGATATTATGTCCTTCTTTCTGCTAACTTTGGGCTTAATTTGCTCTTTTTCTAGTCTCTTGAGGTATTTGAAATCTCATTTTTTAATATATGCATTTATTGCCACAAACTTCTCTCAGAACTGTTTTTGCAGCATCCATTTTTGGTATGTTGTTTCCATTTATTTTGAGATATTCTTTGGTCTGCCTTTTGATTTCTTCTTTGACCCATTGATTGTTCAAGAGTATGCTATGTGCTATTCAGTTTCCACATCTCTGGAGATTTTCTAGCTTTCCTCAATGAAAGATTTCTAGTTTCATACCATTGTGGTTGGAAAGACACTTGGTATAAATTCAGTCTTCTTTTGCTATGACTCGTTTTGTGTTCTATCATATGATCTATTTTTAAAAGTGTTCCATGTGTACTTGAGAAAAATGTGTATTGTGCTGCTGTTCAATGAAATTTTCTATAGATGTCTATTAGGCCAATTTGATGTAATATTTGGTCCAAGTCTATCATTTCCTTGTTGCTTTTCTGTCTGGATAACCTGTGCATTGCTGAAAGTGATATATTAAAATCCCCTACTATTATTGCATTGTTGTCGATTTCTTCTTTCATATCTATTAATATTTGCTTAATATATTTAGGTGCTCTGATGTTGGGTGCATATACTGTTATATCTTCTTGATGGATTGAGCCCTTTATCATTATACAATGTTCTTGCTTATCTCTTATTACCATTTTGGTTTAAAGTCTACTTCGTCTGATGTAAGTAACAACTACCCACATTGTCTTTGGTTCCCACTTGCATGGAGTATCTTTTTCCATCCCTTCACTTTGAGTCTATGTGTGTTTTTAAGGTTCAAGTTGGTCTTTTGTAGGCAGAAAACACCTGTACCCTGTTTTTTATTTGTTTCTTCCATCTAGCCACTCTGTGCCTTTTGCTTGGTGAATTCAATCCACTTACATTTAGAGTAACTAACTTATGTTAAGTACTTACTAATGCCATGTTACTAACTGCTTTCTAGTTGCTAGGTATTTCCATTGTTTCTTTTCCCGTTTCCGCCTACCTTTGTAAACTGGTTATTTTCTGTGGTGGTATGCTATTTCCCCTTTCTTTGTCTCTTGTGGATCTGTTCTATGCTTTTGCAATGTTGTTACCATAAAACATCTTACAGATAAAACAATCCATCTTAAGCTGACAGTAACTTGTGCTCAATCACCTATTGAGGCTCTCCCTTCTACTCCTTCTTGTTCTATTACTGATGTCACAATTTACCTCTTTTTATGTGGTATATCTGTTAACAATTTATAGCAGCTATACTTATTTGTACTACTCTTTTCCTTTAACCTTTATACTAGAATTGAGTGGTTAAAGCACCATCCTAATATAGATTAGTGATCTAACTCTATTTTTCACCTCTTCTAGTATATTGTGTACTTCCATATGTTTTCATGTTACAGATCACTATCTTTTCATTTCTGCTTGAAGAACTCCTTTCAGCATCTTGCAAGGCAAGGCTGGTGGTGGTAAACTCCCCTTAGCTTTTGTCTGGGCTATCTTATCTGCAAGATAATGTGGCCAAATACAATTTCCTTGGTTGGCAGTCTTTATCTTTCCACACTGAACATGTCAGTCCACTCTCTCCTGGCCTGTAGTTTCTGCTGAGAAATCTGCTGACAGCCTAATGAGGGTCCTTTGTAGGCTATATACCTTCTTTCTCCCCGGCTTCTTTTAGATCCTTTATCATTGATTTTTCAGTTTCATTATAATGTGTCTTGGGGAAGGTCTTTCTGCATTGAGATAATGGGGTGATCTATTAGCTTAGTGGACTTCTATGTCCAAGTTTTTCCCCAGATTTGGAAAGTTCTCAGGTTTGACTGATTTTATTTGAGAGAGAGAGAGCAAGCAGGGGAGAGGGGCAGAAGGAGCGAGAAAATCTTAAGCAGACTCCATGCCCAGCACAGAGCCCGATGCCGGGCTCAATCCCACAACCCCAGGATCATGACCTGAGCCAAAATCAAGAGTCGGACACTCAACCAGTGGAGCCACCCAAGTGCCTGAGGTATCATTTTTAAAAAATAAACTCTCTATGGAAACCAATTTGACAATAAACTTCATATATTGAAAAAATAAATAAACAAACAAACAAACAAACAAACTCTCTGCCCCCTTCTCCCTGTCTTCTCTTTCTGGAAGCCCACTTATCCTGATATTTGCCTTCCTCTGATAGTTGTCTTTTTTAAATTTTTTTTTTCAACGTTTATTTATTTTTGGGACAGAGAGAGACGGAGCATGAACGGGGGAGGGGCAGAGAGAGAGGGAGACACAGAATCAACAACAGGCTCCAGGCTCTGAGCCATCAGCCCAGAGCCTGACGCAGGGCTCGAACTCCCGGACCGCGAGATCGTGACCTGGCTGAAGTCGGACGCTTAACCGACTGCGCCACCCAGGCGCCCCTGATAGTTGTCTTTTTGATCCAATCCCATAGCTCATGTACTTTTTTCACTTTTTTTTTTTTTTTTAACCTCTTCTGTGTTATTTCTAAATTGCTATCCTCTAAGTCATTTATTCTTTCTTCCATCTGGTCAGCCCTCCACAGCTGCTCTCTATTGTTATTCTATACCTCATTCATCAAATTCTTCAGCTCCAGAATTTGTCTGGTTCTCTTTTACATTCTCAATCTCTTTGTAACAGAATTCATTTTGTTCGTATGTTTTGCTCCTGACTTTAATGAATTGCCTTTGAGTTTTCTTGTAACTGAGTTTATTCATAACTGCTATTCTAAATTCTCTGTCAGTTAGATTGCAATATTCTGTGCCTTTGAGCTCACTTGCTGGAGAACTGTCATTTTCTTGCTGTGATGCCGTATTTCCCAGACTTTTTACATTCCCCAGAGTTATGCATTGCTGCTTTTGCATTTGAAGTAGCAGATACATCCTTAATTCTGTGCTCGCTGCTTTCAGCAGATGGTTTTATGTTCTGTGGTATTGTTACTATCTGAGATATTCCTTGTGTTTGTGAGGTATACCTGCCACTCTTCTTGCTCTCTCTTGGGGCCAAATTTTTAAGCCCTTGTGTTACCTTTGGTTGTTACAGTTCACCAGGCTGGCTATTGGAAACAGCATTCTAGAAAAGCAATAGCTAGAGTTTATGGTTTTTCCTTGCCCAACGACCAGAGCCTGCTCTGAGTGCGCTCCCAATCTACCAGACACACTCGGGAGCTTGCACAAAAAGCTAGCAGCAGAATGAGAGGAAGTGGAGTTTCGCACTCAGTGTCTTGGGGAAGCTGCAGACCCAGCAGGGAGAACCTTGGGTGTGGTACTCCAAGATTTGTGGGTGAACCTCCTCCTGAGCCAATCCCTCTGACACCGTTTGAAGTTCTGATCTGCTTCCTCCCAGTCACAGAGCTCCCACCTTAGTACTCTGGGTGCTGGTGGAGAGAAATGGGTTTCTCCAGCGGTGTTCCATTTGGCTGGGACAGCCAGGAGCATTCTCCCTGCTCTCCTTTCCCCCCACAGGACAGGTCACCTTCACCAGATAAATCAGCCCATTCAGGGTTTCCTTGAGGGAGAAGCAGCAGCAGAAGTATTTCTCTTACCACCTCCACTGTGATCGACGCATGTTTTTTTCTCTTTTTTTCCCTTCTCCAATGGTGTGCTGGAGTCTTCCTGCAGGAAGGCTGGATTCCTGCAAGTTCTGTCTCATGCGTGAGTACCTGCCCGGGTCAGCACTCATCTGATTTTTGCCTGACAGTGGCAAAAGGCATCTAGGCAGTTGTGCTGGCTCCACAGCCTGTATGGAGGTTTGTCTGTCTCTTACTGGTGGTGGTGGTGGGCAAGACTCCGCTCGGGTCCTTCGAAGGAAGGTGCTAGGTCCCAAAAGACCCAACACATGCTTTTGTTTGTGTATGGATGTCTAATTCACTGATTAAAAGGTGTGTGTGTGGGGGGGGGAATAAAAAGGAGGAATGTTTTATACCGCCAATGTTGCTGACGTCATCGCCTTCACTTCTAAATGATCTCCCAAGTCAATGTCCCTCACGTATTACCTACAAAGTACTCCTGCAGGCATCGGAAACTGAATGCAAACCCAGAGGCATCTGGGGACGGAAAGGGGAGAGCATTATGAACTTGAAATTCCTTCAGAAGGCTTATGTTTGTTTTAAACCATTCCGACACTGCACTCTACTATATCTATCTGTACATTTTCCTACCTCATCCAAATCAAAGCAAACTAATGCTCTAAAAAAATGCGCTAAAATAATTCTATGGCTTTATACACTTCACGCACACCCGAATCTTTTAAGTTGTTCTAAAATACTGGCTGTGTTATGCCATTCTTCTCTACAAAACTCCCAAATGACTAACCGTTACCCACTGGATAAGGTCCGGCTTAGAATGGCATCTTCCTGGACAAGCCACGTGCAGTCTGCCTGCTGTGGTCCAGATCGCTCTCTTTAAAATCTAACTCTCCTCTATTCCTCAGCCTCAACCCGCTACTCTTGCCTGCCTGGCCCACACACCATGCCCTAAAAACATTCACTGTGTAACTGTCTGGGTCATTCAACACCCCGTACTGGGAATGACAGGAATTGTGGAAATACCACACAGCATGAGACACAGGGATCCTTTTCCATTTCCCTCCACCCACTAAAATTCAACCCATTTTTCCAGGCCCAAGGTAACTTTCACTACCTCTACACAGCCCTGCCTGATAATTCTAGCTCACACTTTCCTTTACCCTGCTCTACCCTGTTTTAGTCCGTCTTCAGAAAAGAATGCACACTCTCAACCCTGTGCCCTTACTGACCACTTACACTTTAACTCTGTGTAACCAAGGTTCAGCCTTCAGACTCTCCTCAAAGTAGGCCAAGGTCCGCGACTACGCTTGGGGCAAATCCGATGGCCTTTCCCCAGTTTTCACCCTCACTTCAGCGCCTGACCATGCAGACCACTTCTTGACACCCTCTCCTCCCTTATACTTCAAAATATTCCATTCTCAAGGTTCTCTTAGTTGACACTTCCTTCTGTCTCCCCTTGTTGCTACAGTTCCTAAGTGGAGGTGTTTTCCACGTTCTGTTCCCTGTCCTCTCATCTTCCTGTCCTGCCTTCCTCACAGTTTCAAACAAGAATCCAAACAGGCAGTCCTCAATCTTCATTTCTATCTCTGCCCTCTCCTGAATTCTCTGCTTTTCCAACTGCCCAATCACTATCTAGAGCTCAGTTATTTTAACCTATCAAACCCTCTGCCAGTGATCTGTTTGAGTAGAAAGAGTGTTGCCTCTAAGTCCTTATATCTCTTTCCACCCTAGAGAACCAGGCAGAAGAATTAGGAAAAGCCAATCTCTGAGGAATCTGAAGGTAAGGTAAGGTCGCTTGGCCACTCAAGTCCCCAGGAAATAATGACAATAATAAATTTACTCCTCATACTACTTTGTGATTTCTGCACATAAAAGATGCCCTTTCTCCTTCTCCATGCCAAGGGAGAATACTGACACTCCCAAGTTCCTCTGGCCACAAGCAGCTTTCCTTCTGTCTCTAGGGAATGTTGGATCTCAGCCTATGCTAACTTCCTAATACAGCCTCCTCTTCTTCAACAGCCAACCCGAGCTCCTGTTAGCACTTTAATGGTGTGTCTGATTTCTCTCCCACAGATCTCTGACATTTTGGGGCAAAATTCCCTTATGAACATGGGGTGAGTTGGCCACAGTGGAGGTAAGCAATGGAATGCTCTTCGTGCCAATACTACAACATGCACACAGGGACTGACGTATCAGAATACTTCCACACCCACTATTCTCATTGCATTTCCATGAGGCTGGTGGAATAAGTATTATTCAAAATTACAAATGAGAAAACAGGCACAGGGAGAGTAGGGACCGCCTCAAGGTGCCATAACTGCTTGCATGATAAAAAAAACTAGCTAATGAGACTCCAACCAGCTCTTCCAACTCCTTAACCAGTGCTTCATAACCCATGTGAAACCTGTCCTAAGTGTCCTCTCCACTCTCATTCCATCCCTTCCCCTTCTCTCTGTTTTGCTTCTTACCTTTCATTTTCCCAGCCAGCTCGTATATTTTTCTTGGCTCGGCGGATCGTGTTTCCAAAGCCGTGAATAAACCACCTCTGCCCCAGCGGCCAGAGTCATCTATCAGAAGAAAAAATTTTCAGTTATAGAAGGCAGAGTCCAATCCACAATTTAAAAACAAAGGTACACCCACTAGATTTGTAAAAGAATGATTTTTCAAAGGGAAGAGACAACTACCTAGTCTCCCAGGAATATCAGAGGTGGGACTTCTCAAATATATTAGGTTTTATGGAAGATCCCTGGCCATCCTAATAGGAAAGATGGAGAGGAGATGTAACATAACAAACAGCTGAAGCACTGGGGACACAACAGCATACAACTCCCATTTTACAGGTAAGGAAGGAGAAAGGTTAAATGACTTCTTTGAGTTACTGCTACCATAGCTGGTTACTATTTTCCATTTACAGTCATTCAATCATTGTTAGCACGTATGACATGTTAGACACTGTTCCAGGCACTAGGGTTATAGCAGTGGACAAGACCAAAAAAAAAAAAAAAAAAGAATCACTGTTCCCATGAATTTTATTTTCTAGTGCAATGAGATAATCATATAAACAAATATGTAATATGTGGTGGTGACACATGTAATAAAGTAAAATAAGGTAGGAAAAAGGAGTAGAGAACAATAGAGGCCTGGAAGTGGGATCTGTTTTATATGAGGCATTCAGGAGACCTCTGAGATGCAGACGTTTGACCAATGCTTGCTGTGGCTACCTGTGGAAAGAGGGTTCCTTCCAGGCAGAGGAGTAAAATGTGCCAAGGTCATGGGGGTGGGGGCAGAGGACACGCTTAGAGTTGTCCTGTATATGTTGCCTCCTTCTACCCTCTTAAAAACCTTGTGCAAAGAATAGGAAAGATATTTTCCAATTACACAGATAAGGAACCTGAGGCCCAGGGAGATTAGGCTATGCAACCAGGTAAATAAGAGCACCACCAAGAGTCAAATTTAAGTCTCTGGATTTGAAAATCTGCCCTTTCTTAACCACACGACTGCACCATGCCCATCAATCACTCCTAGGTCAGGCTTCTGCCTCCTCCTCCCCAGTTCTTAGCACCACAAAGATTAAGGCACCCATCCTGGGCCCGTACTACATTTACCTACCGACGCAGTGAACGATGACCGCGTCCTCCGCCCCAGCCTGCGGGTGGGTGACATCACCGCTCACATACTTGATGGCCGTTGACTCTGGATCTTCATAATCCAGCTGGGCAGAGCTCTCCTCATCTTCCCTGCCCTCTAGGTCCTCCGGTTCACTGTCCTCAGAAGGCAGGCAGAAGGACTGGTAATTGCTGGACTCCCACCAGGCCATCCTTCAACAGGCCAGAGAGAAAAGGAAATTAACCTGGCCTCTCACAATTTCCCTTAGAGCGCAATTCATCCTGCTATTCACAAACAGTAAGTGCCCAGTGGAAATGCAATTAGACACTCACCATGATGGCAGTTTTCTGCCTATTTGTAAGTCAACAAGAAGTCTTACTGATTACCTAGCTGCCTCCTGACTATGCTTCAGTAACGAGCAGCCACCGCATGTCCCTGTTTTTAAGAATAAGGTACCATTCAAGGGAACTACTCTTTGTCAGGCAGCTACAATAAAATCTTTTCTTGCTTCAACTAAATGAATCTTCTCTGCCTTCGGCACTCAGGACTTTTCACAAAAGCACACTAACTGTTAGGGTTAACATTTGATGTTTAAAAAAAATATTCTATTACCCATAGAAACTACCAGTTCTATAGAAGTTTTCTGCAAGTTTAAAGTATTCAACTGTGGACTCTATACAACAGTGATTCCTTTATCAAATGTGACCCTCAGCTTTATTAGAATATAGTCAAATAATATACATGTACTTTTTTCCATGTTCTGCTTCTTCCTTTTTCCTCTTCTTCTCTTCCACTAGTCTCTTTCTCTTGGCTGCTGCCTCTTGTCTCTTCTTCCTTCTGTCCTCCACTTCCTCTGGGCTCAGAATCCGCTTCCTTTTGGCAGACCCCTCTGTAAGGCCTGGGAGGAGAACCTGTAGGACGAACAAGATCCATAACCAGGAAGGTTGGGGGCTGCCTATTCCTTCTTGAGTTTCATTCATCCCTAACACACATTCTGTGTGAAAGCAACACGCTTACTAATATTTCATAAAGCTGCGTCTCTGTGCCCCTTGTGTGGTGGGAGGTCGTGGCAAGACACTTCAATTTACTGTTCATATTACACATCTCACTCACTTGGCCTGGTGACCAGGATATTGTGATCTAAACTCAACCGAAGCACTGGCATGGCTGGTACAACAGTACATCATTTTGATTAATTTCAACAGGAATAAGGTGCTTCAGAAAAGTTACTTTTTTTTATACAAAGCATATCCTGCAGGAGGCCATTTTAGGTTTAACCACTGTTAAAGGAAATCCTCCTACAATGTATTATAGAATTCTTTCTTAAACAGAGTCTTTCAACATTATGATTATCTTAATGGTGGGTAGCATTTAATGAGCACATACAAAGTGTCAAATACCACGGACATAACATGTATCATTCTTGACTGCCACCCTCTCTTAGTGACACAAATTATCAGGAGTAGAGTGCGGTATTTTGGTGTGATACAGTGTATCCCTTCTGGGGTGGCTTAGATGCACGGGGCTGCTTTTGCCTGCATTAAATGGTAAAACACACTGTTCCTGTTGATGTTATTTATGCCAACTTTTTTTTTTAATGTTTATTTTTGAGGGGGGAAAGGAGCAGCAAGAGCGGGGGATACAGGATCTAAAACAGGCTCTGTGCTGGCAGCAGAGAACCCGATGTGAGGCTCGAACTCATGAACCACGAGATCATGACCTGAGCTGAAATCAGACACTTAACTGACTGAGCCACCCAGGGGCCCCTAATTATACTTACATTTCAACAAATATTTATATGCTTATTTCTCAATAAACCACTCCCAGCATCATTTTTGGTTCTCTTAGAAATTGGAAGAATTTATTCTTTTACATAAATCAACAGTTCTTACACTGCCTTTATTTCGGAGTAATCGGCCCTCTTGCGTAGTTTTCTCCAAAAGGGTTTTCTGAAGGTTCACCAGTTGCTCAAAAGATTTTCTGTCTTCTTTACTAGGTTCCTTGGAATAATCTTTACCTTCAAATAAGTACATATGGTTTTCTAAGAACATAAAACACAAAACAGAAATGTTAGAGACTAAAGAAAAATGGATTAATCCCATTCAAAGCAGTAAGTAAGGCAAACAAGAGAACAACCTGTGTTCTAAATGGGCTAAGACTAGCTTGTGATTTGGGATCCCACGGACACTGATGGGTGGGGATCTCACACATTTACTCTTTAAAGGAGAGGATATGGCTGTTGCCCTTCTGGTCCATCTCTGGTTGGTCTGCAAGTCTCTGCTGGATACCTCCACCCTGTTGAGTCTTGGATCCCCTGTCACTCATTCCACACTATTCTTCAGCATAGATCTCACTAAGATCACTTAATAAAAGGTAACTGAAAACATGCTTTTTTTTATTGGACACCTATTTAATACTCCACTTGTTCCTTTAATATTACAGAAAAGGAGGAGAAAAGTGGCAAATTATGAGAAAATGGAGAATCACAAAAATAATCCCTTAGATTTACAATATTCTTTTCATATCGCATAAAGTATCTTTATGAAGCCTCCCCACAATCTTGGTATAACTAACCCTGCTGAAGAAAGGGAAAAATGAGGCTCAGACAGGGATCATGGGACTCCAGTTCTCACTGTTAATAAATGAAGGCAGGATTTTGACTCAAGAGCCAACATGCTCTTTTCAGTGCATTACTGTGTCTGCGGAAGGATGGAGTGAACAAGTCAGCAAGTACTGGTTACAGTAATAACAATAATGACAACAGTGTAATCTTGAATAGCATTTTGTACTGTCAGAGCACTTTCACATCTATTATCACATTTGATTCTTCAACTATTTAAAAGGGTAAAGCAGACACTAACAGCACCATTTTACAGATGAGGACACAAAGGCTGAAAGAGGTTGGGTGATATGCCAAGATCATGAATCAGTGATAAAGAGAGGTCATGACCAGCCAAGACCAGTAAACCACAGAGAGATGAGATAATGATTCTAAAGTGAAACGTATTTAATAGCACATATTACCAAAGAATGTATTTTCACAGCATTATGAAATCAGCTAGAAGTATGTTTTCTCTAGAGAGTATGAAAGCAAAACATTTTCATTCTCAAGAGATCAACTGCTTCACACTTGTACCCAAATCCAACCAGCTGTAATTCTAATTGGCATTTGCTAATTAAATCAGCAGGGTGCTTTCAATGAGGTGCTCTATCAACAAGTGGGAAAAAAATAAAGAGCTGAGAAGTGTCAAATATGATCAACATATGTAGCTTCATATTGCATGCAATTCTCAACCTATAAATATGTTTTTTAAAAAAACCCTAGCATTCCAGATAAAGCAACCCTATTTTTTATTTATTTTTGATTGGAGCTCCTTTAACTACTGGTCTTTCATATTCATTTATATTATTTAAAAAAAAAATTTTTTTTTTCAACGTTTATTTATTTTTGGGACAGAGAGAGACAGAGCATGAACGGGGGAGGGGCAGAGAGAGAGGGAGACACAGAATCGGAAACAGGCTCCAGGCTCTGAGCCATCAGCCCAGAGCCCGACGCGGGGCTCGAACTCACGGACCGCGAGATCGTGACCTGGCTGAAGTCGGACGCCCAACCGACTGCGCCACCCAGGCGCCCCTCATTTATATTATTTTTAATCGTGCTCCCTGTCTTCACTCTTCAGCCAAGAGGGGGTTGGAGACCACAGGCCTAGGCCCTCATCTGTGTCCTGTCAGTGGCACCATCTACCACAGAAACTGTACTCACTGATCAAAGAGAAGATTCCAAATTTTAATACAAGTGGAAAATCTTTTCTGGCAGCTGGACTGACTAAAGAATAGAAGTCTTCCTGGAAAACAACAAAATTTTATTTTGTCCTAGTAACAGGAGGAAAGTAATCTCAAATTAATCTAGAATGAGCGCAGAAATGGGTGCAAGCTTCACTAATGTAATCCAAACAGAACTTCAAAATCAGGTCACATGCATCCATTTTGCCTCCCACCTAAAACCACTAAATAGCAGTGAAGGGATTTTGAAAAGCCAGGAGACAACAGTGAATGAAAAGTTCAGTAATTCTTGGAAAACGGAAAGTGGCTGAAGCAATCAGATCGGATTAAGAAAAACCGTGAAAGCCAAACACAGGTGCCTAGTCAAGGGGTGATTATGAGACTAGAGACCCTGTCAATCCTCCGAAGGTTAGGATGTATAAGGACAGAGTGCTGGACAGTACGGGATCTGAGCGAAGTTCTGTATACCAAGTAACAGGAGCACCGTTAACCTTGGACTCCCGTGGTCTCTTCAATTTGAGCAAACAGGTTTATTCCAACCCAAGAAAGATACTAAAGGATTCATCTGGAGAAACTAAGTTGCCCAATGAAAAGACTTCAAATACAGAAGCCAGGTCACCAACCAGTAATGCTGGAATAAGGATCAAGATACACCTGCTCGGCTTGGGGCTGCCTGTCAGCTTCGGCCCTTCACCGGCACATGTTTTTCAGACAGCCAGAGGACACCAGCTATTTCAGGAAAACTCAAGACAAAAACAAGATGTTCCAAAACAAATTTTGAAAACAGCAATGGCAGCAATGAGAGGAAAGAAAGAAAAAGAATACTTTTCAAAAGCTATGATAAACATCTCAAGAGAGGACATTACATCTGTGAAATGAGAACAAGAGACAAGTAAAACAGAGAATAAGAAAGAGTATCTGAAGAATAAAAATGGGATACTAATGTTAAGAAATTTAAAAGACAAAATGAGAAAAGTCAAAGAGCTGTATCCGGTAGAATGAAGCTAGTTGCCTAAATCCCAATCTCTCCATATACCCTGTAAAACCACCACTAATCCATGGCTTCTATAAAACTAGGGAGTCTGAGAATATTACAAACTTCAATCTGCAGATAAGTAGAGAAATGAACATTCAAACGCCAATGGAGCCAGTTCCAGAGCCCACACCAGACTTGAGAGTGACGCAGAAGACAGGCAGTGTCAGACACAGCCCCCTGAACACAGTGCCACAACCTAAATAGAAAAACAGTAAGAACACGTCTCAGACTCAGGTCAGAGCACTGGCTACCAAGAAACTGAAAGGAAGGGACTAGAAAGTGCATGCAGTCAGCAATCTGGGAAGGCACTGCTTCTAGGGGAGAGAGAGACATCCCCTGGCAGTTCTATGGCAAAGAAAGGAAGCAAGTGATGAAAAGTGGGGATCCTACAGAAACAAGAGAATCACAAAACCAGAAGTCCCTACCAAAGTCCCTGCCAATCTCGCTCCCTACCAAAAAGGGAGGCATCATCTAGTAAAGAAACTACAGCTCTCTTGAATTAAGGTATTCTTGAATTAAGTCTAGAGTAAGACTCTCAAACCTCACCCCCGTCCACACTGAATTCTTGCTGCCACTGGTACAAGACAATAAAATGACTGTAAGACAGCAGGGAATATCTTTACAAAGCTCCTATGTAAAAAAACGCTTCAAGTCAGAATTTCAAATACTCAGAACCAAAATGGACAAAAAAGACAAATGTTGACCAAATTCAGGAAAGACAAAAATTATCTCATGATTTACATGTACTGTTTCAGTAAAAAAATAGCAGTACCTACACCTTAAAGTATGGTGAAGATTAAACGAAAAAACAGGTATTAAGCACAGGACACGGTACACACTTCTGATTGAGCACAGAATAAATGCTCAACCAGTATTAATGACCATGTAAAAACCAAATCATTCTACTATTCAGAAGAGGACTCACCATGAGAGGGCAACCATAATAAGGACAGTGGGATTTATTAATATAATAAAAGAGAAGATGCTTGCAACGAAGGCAGGAAAAAGTACAAATTAAAATCCTTGAGATACTACCACGAGCATTAATATCATTGAGTGGGTTCAAAGTTCAGCTACAAGGGAACAGGCAATTGCTAGTCAGTCTAGGAAGAATTCTTAGACCAAGGAAGACTTCAACAGTGTGCCCACAATGAGAATAGGGCTGGGTAGGAAAAGATGCCCCAGGGAGCACTCTCCAGGACCTCCTATCGGGACCTATCAGTCACATCTAAATCAGGCAGCTGTGCCATTTGCTCTACTTTCACCCCCCACTTACTGCCTTCCTCCTGCTCCTGGATTCCTTCTTCTGCTGTAGGCAAGGTGTCAGAGATCCACTGGCCATTCTTTGTTTCTCCCAGGATCGTCTCCAGGTCTATCTCATCCACAGTACTCCCCTCAGATGACAGCAGTTTATCCAAACCAAATTTGAGTATCTCACTCAACTTGAATGGAGAAAATGAAAAAGTCCAGTTGGTTCTCATGAAAACAGGCATTGGGACGTCAGTGTTTTGCTAAATGGCTTGCTGACACAGGGCAGGCTCCTTCCCTGCTGGCCGGCTGTTCTACTCTCCCCACGACGATGATACCAACAGGGCCGTTTAGTGGTTGGATGATGGCCAAGCAGAGAGGTGATAAATACTGGTCAGTTACGATGACTCTGACAACTCTCGAGGACAAAAAAAAAATTAGCCTCTTTTTTTCTCAAGAACAGTAATATCCTGCGTTATCTATGGCAGTTCTCAGGAGTCTTTCTCACAGGCCACAGGCACTTCCAGCAGCCACACGAGAAGTCAGAGGCCCAGTGAGCTTCTCTCCCACTGACAAACTTGGAAGAAGGCTATGCTGGGTACCTTCCCTCCACCATCAACTGACTTCTCTCCTCTGGCAATCTGGTTTCCTACCATAGCGCTCCATGGGACTCACCTTCACCAAGACCAGTAACAACTGATGGCTAGACCTGAAGGCCATTTCTCAATTCTAATCTTCTTCAATACTCCTCTGACAATTGCATTATTCTGCCTCTCTTCCCTTATCTCAAAGGTACCCATTGAGCCTACCCATTCCCTAGGGTCACAATACTCCTCTGACAACTGCATTATCCTGCCTCTCTTCCCTTATCTCAAAGGTACCTATTGAGCCTACCCATTCCCTAGGGTCACAAGAACCATCCAAACAGTTCAGATCACTTCCCTGGCTTTAAATAACTACTTCCAACTTTGCACCTCCTTAAGCACTAACTCTTAGATTCGAAATCAACGTAGATTCACATCTTGACTTCTAGTTCGTATCTTATCCTTTTAGACTGGGTCAGTTATCTCTAGATGGCCTAGTAAATATTAGGCCAAATACTGGTAGGAATGTAAACTGTTCCCAACACTGGCTGTTTGACAGGGCTCTGTTGGGATTCTTGCTCAGCTCCAGGAAACCAGAAGGTTACATTCGGGTTCTAATGTCTGATTTCTCTCTTTCTCATTCAGACTCTACTAGTTATCTCTTTGGTTGCCAAAAACGAAGGTAACAACCCAGTGACCTGGTCTCAGATGAAAGCAGTTTCTTCGTTGTTTGTTTTAAAATACAAAGAACCTAGTAATAAAAGATGTGGTTGTGGTTTATTAAATCTAAAATGTATAGAGTTCTGAAGTCCTGAAAGAGGGAAAGCAGTGTCATTATTCTACAGTGAGACAGATGCAGTGAACATTTACTGAATGCTTACTTTGTGCTAAGTACTATCGGAAGTGCGTCTCTCCAACTGTTTCAGTGAATATGATCCCTTTGGGCAAAATGGAAGAATCTAGGATATATCATGAGTTCTAATTTTAACCCAGGGGCTGCTGTAGAGTAACTCGAAGCCCCATTCCAGAAGAGAAAATCTGTAAGTCAGCATTTGTTTCCTATCCAATATTCCCTTCCTCAAGCAATTAACTCTCATCTTTCATCCATTTTTTCCTATGGAACAATTCTGAATTCCTGATCTCATACCATCCTCTGACTATGAAGATCACTCACTGATCAAAAGCTCTGGGGTTAAGACAAGGTATGAGATTAACCATCATTTATTATGCCGAGTTCTCTATTTTATCTAATTTTTTTTTTTAACACTCCTCTGAGGTAACTTGCAATATTCTCATTTTTTGAAAATGCAAATAGAAGTAGATCTGAGAGGTCAAGCTATCTGCTCAAAGCCACACAGCCAGTAAGTGTCAAGGCTTGGATGTGAATCCAAGTCAGGGGATCTAAAACCCATCCCTGTCATTCCATATTCTGCTACCTTTATTCATCACAATCATTTTTAGCTCCTTGCTTGCATGCAGTAGACAGTATGGCAGGTACATGTGGAACAGACCTGGGAACAAATGTGTAGCTGGGGACAATGGGTTTTAAAGCTAGTTCTTTGCATCCGCTTTCTCACCCACAAGAAAATACTGACAACAGGACACATTCTTAAAGGAAGAATAAGATCTTATACCTGGAGGTCAGCATCGGCTGCAGGTTTCCGGGCCCCCAAAGTAAAATGGCCTCCCTCTATGACTGTGCTGGTGAGCTGGAGTTTGGAGGCCGCTTTCCTACAGACTATTTCCTCCACAGTGTCTCGGCTGATCAGCCGAATAACTTTAACAGACCTGTACAGGGTCAAAAGAGACAAATGTGCCGTGAGATGAACACAGCATGCAAGGTCAATACACCTAAAGGGAAACAAACCCCAAATGCCATGCTCAGGGTACAGCTAAAGGGAGACTGTACTGTGGACATGAGCATCTGTTAGTGAGATCTGGCCTCCCAGAGGTACTCACTGAAGATTTCCAAGAGAGTCAAGGGATGAGGAGAGGCCATAACTGAGGTTCCTGATGGGAACAGTGAAGGAAAACCTCAGGCAGATCTCCATGATCTTTGTAGCCTAACTCTACAACGCCAGAACTTCATTTTTAAACTGAATCAGACCTTAACTCAGGTAAAAAAGAGTTAAATAACTTCTAAAGGTTCCTTCTCGTCTTTAGAAGTTCATGGCTTCTATTTCATGGCTTGACTGTGGTTTTTAACAAATCACGTGTGCAAGAAGAATGTGTGCTGGCCAGCAGTCTTCAACGAGTCAGCAGCAAAGCTGGGCTAAAACCCAGTGCTCTCTCACCCTCCAGTCTGGGATGTCACCGGGCCCACCAGGTCGTTCACCTCCCTCCCCAACCGAGGACCGCTGAGGAGCCAGGGATGTGGAAAAACACTGATGCTGAAATCTCTCACTTGTTCTGGCCGATCCGGTGAGCTCTGGCAGCTGCCTGTAAGTCGTTCTGCGGATTGAAATCACTGTCAACAAAAATAACAGTATCTGCAGCTGTTAAGTTCATGCCCACTCCACCTGAAAACAATGCAAAAGGAATGTGATCAGCAGCAAGCTGGCTACGGGCTAGACCATAAAGGTGCAAGGCAAGGGGACGAATGGTAAATTAAGATCAGACAAAACAATTGGCCTCACCTTTCAAACTAACACCCATCCCTAACTCCAGGACCTTGCAGTGGTTAACACTGCTGCCTATTGCCTGACTTGGGAAAACTTAAGTATTGAAAGTAACAGAATGAGGGGAGCAGGGGCAAACAGTAAAAGTGCATAGTGAAGTTAGTCCCAGGAAGCCAATTTACATCTCTTCCGTTTAAAAATCTTGGTCTATTTAGAATAGTCTGTGAAAGAGGACACACACTCTTTCAAAAGAAAACAGTTTTAAATATGCAAGGGGTCTTCTGCTGTGGACACTGCTAAGAGAGGAGTTAATATCCACTGTAGGTTATAGCTAAGGTAGCAAGATCCCTGATGCAAGCTAATGAGAGCAGGGGATGACATTTATTTATTACACTCCTCAGCAGAGCAGGAAACTACCTCCCTCTGACTGGAGAAAACTTTAGAAAGTCTTTTCTGTATTTGTTTCCACATTAATCAAAGAGTGGGTAACAAAACCAGTCACAGGATAAGGACACTCCATGGGACAACTTTCTGATCTTTCTTCAGCATTGTAGGAAAAGGGCTGAGGAGGCTTCTTGGATGATGAGAATTAATTAAGAGAACCATGAAAGCAAATTACAGCTTTGTCTTTGATTAATGTGGAAACAAGTACAAGAGGGACTCCCTCTTGCCAGGGTCGTTACAGCTCATTGCGGAGACAAGCAAGCCTGAAAGGGCTTGTTCCAACAGCTTGAATTGAGGACTAACTTTTGAGATGGGCTACCGACTGTAAGCTGGCTCTCAAGACAAGTCAGGCAGGAACATTCTAATTAAAGCCTTCATATAAAATTAAAGCTGGAATAAAGACATAATAAAGACTGATTACTGAGAGATGCTAAATTAGACCTTATAATAATGCCAGCTACGTTTGTGCTGTGCTTACTACGTGCCAAGCAATGTTCTAAGCGCTTTATGTATACTGACTCCTTCAATCCTCACAACACCCCTATGAGTAGTTTACTATTATTACCCTCATTTTATAGACAGAAGAGCAGAGAAGTCCAGGGACTCAGCAGAGATCACACAGCCAGGAAGTGAGAGAGGCAGGAGTCAGTCCCACACAGTCTGGCTCCAGAGCCTTCGCTTTCACCCACTACTCCAGAGAATCTCCCTGGCACTTATTTCATCACAGCATGAGCCATAAAAGTTTTCTTCTTCTTGGGTTAACATCTGAGTTCAGCGCTTCCTCATTAAATTAAGGGGTGATGTTTTACAAATAAGCTATTCTCCATTCTTGTTTGGAACATCTCACGAGCTACCACTGCCACCCGGTGGCAACATGATTCAACCACAGAACTATTTGAAAGTTGGAGGGAAACCTGTTAAATAAATAACCCTGCTAATTTACAGCTAAAAAGTGATAGCAAATGTGATCATCATTGTTTGGAAAAGGCTCATGTCCAGGATTGCTTCCGTTCTTAAAAGATTACTCTGTTTTGACTGATTCTAGTACTCCCAGGAGCTTACTCTTTCTTCCTAATTTTAGACCTTCAAACGTGATGCCACTCTCACAATATGAAGATGACAAAATCATTAAAGCAGAAGGAGAGCTGTTTTCCCAACACTGAAGATGCATTTGCCCTGATCCTTCCAGCTTCTCCTAAGACCACCCCAGAGACAACTGAGGACATGAATAAATGGCTGATGCAGGGTGCAGTCTACGACACTGGAAGCAAGTGAAGCCAAACAAATCAGATTATATCTTTGTAGTACAGAGATGAGACACACACAGGTGAGAAAATCTCCTTATGGTCAGGGATTCTATTTAACACGTCTTTTATGCACCCTCACCGTACTAGACACTTAAATACTTTTTAAGATAGAACTCTCTCTTTAGAAAGATGTTGATCTCTCTTTAATAGAGGACACACATCCCCCTAATGTTCTTGCATCCATTCCATTAAGATTCAGGTCTACAAAAACTAAGATAATGAAACTAAGATTCTAGAAGTTCAACACTAAGGTCTGCTTGCTCCATGACATAATAATTTCATCTCCATGAACAGATTTCAAACAACTGAAGAGTGTATAAAAGCACTACAAATGTCATATAAAAATATTTATGACTTAAGTCACATTAAAAATAATTCCAAAGAGGTGGCAATTTCATTAGGATCACAACTTTTTAAAAAGCTAGACTTGATTAAGCTTTGACAGCACTATTCCAGACTACGTAAGGAGGAGGGATAACTAGCAGACAGGTTGTTATCTCACTTCCCAAATTCATAGCTGGGAAAGAGAGCGGTCTCTACTGAATGTCAATTACAGACATCTTACAGGACAACCCAGCTCAGTGGTCAAAGCAGGTTAAAATTACTTTCCAACAACCCCTGGTTTCAGCCTTACTTGGCAGCTTAGAAAACTTGGACAGGAAAAGAACCCCATGCTAGGAGCCCAGTACTTCGATACACTTACAACAAATCCCTCAATTCCCCTGTTTTACGCTCCTCCTTAATGACCTCACCTTTCAGAGAATTAAGGAAAAACATGCTAATGGCCAGGATGTAAAAGTACTATATCTCCCCTTATTTGTCTGCTTTTGTCAATGGCTATGTGGCCTACCTGCCCTGGTACTCAGGAGAAAAATAAAAATAGGCTGCTGTCCAAAGTTCTTAATGGCCAGGTGTCTCTCTTCTCCTCTCACAGAACCATCCACGCGCTCATAGCTGTACCCTTCACAGAGAAAAAGAAAACAGAAATATAAACCCTTTTCACATATTCTTTGGGGAATAAAACATTGTCAGCTCAGAAGCAAATGCTAATTTTATCCCTTTCTGTATACAGGTATACCTCTACTTCAAGCAAATCCCATGGGAAAAATCTAAATTTAGGGGACATTTCATTGTTTTACAAAAGAATTCAACATAGGGGTGCCTGGATGGCTCAGTCGGTTAAGCATCTGACTTTGGCTCAGGTCATGATCTCACAGTCGGTGAGTTCGAGCCCCGTGGTGGGCTCTGTGCTGCCAGCTCAGAGCCTGGAGCCTGCTTCGGATTCTGTGTCTCACTCTTTCTCTGCCCCTCTCCTGCTCATGCTCTGTCTCTCTCTCAAAAAAATAAAACATTTAAAAACAAAAGAACTCAACATAACATAGCTCTCTGGGTTTTTGAAATACATGCAGTTGATGTATCTGATAGTTGTGGAGTTAACAGTCAATTCTGACTATCCCAACCAACCCTGAAGCACACTGTGAACCATGCTGCATGGCAGTTTCCAATTGTGCCTCAACAGAGTTCTTAACTTATGCAAGCAGTAAGACAAGCACTTGGGAGCTGGTCAGTGAGCCTGCCCAATGGCCCAGCAGCTAACCTTCAATGAAGCTACAGATTCTCCACCCATCACCACAGAACCCTGTCAAGAAGGGGAATCCTACTCTCAAGCGCTGTTTGTGAATCTAGAGATTCCTCAACATGCCTATGGCATTTCCTGCCAAGTGTCCAATGGACCAGGTATACTACAGTACTTGGAGGGCATCAAGTGGCTCTGAGAGACCTACTCTAAATTCATGTTTTAAATTCGTACGGTCTGAAGCTGATACTCTTTCACCACTGATCTCATGAACAATCAATGTTACAGCCTTTTTCCATCATCCCACATACATTTCTTTCAAAGTTTATTTATCCTGAGAGAGAGAGAGAGAGAGAGAGAGAGAGAGAGAATATGCTGGAGTGAGCACAAGCATGCAAGTGGGGGAGGGGCAGAGAGAGAGGAAGAGAGAGAATCCCAAGCAGGCTCTATCAGTGCAGAGTCGGACACAGGGCTTGAACACACAAACTGTGAGATAATGACCTAAGTCAAGATCAAGAGCCAGACACTTAACTAAGTCATTCAGAAGCCCTCCACAATAATTTTATTATATGTTAAACAAGATACCCAGGTAATAACTTACATTCCCTGTGGGAGGCTGGGCCCCGGTGCCAGGCTGAGACCGGGTTGAGCAACGGCTCCCTGTTGACTCAGCCAACCCGGTGGTTCCCCCTCCCATTCTCCCACTTGCAAAGGCATACGCAAGCCTTGTCAAGGCTGAGAAAGCTAATTCCTGAAGCCTGTGGTCTGTGGGTGTTGGGATGCTCTCTTTCCCTCTCTCTCTCTGCCCCTCCCCTGCTAGTATGCACGTGCTCTTTCTACCCCGGGTCAAATAGAAACAAACATGGGAACTGTGTTTTGCTAGCAATTTATCAACAGGACCTTGCCGTGACCCGTTTAGAAAGTTCACAATAGGGGCGCCTGGGTGGCGCAGTCGGTTAAGCGTCCGACTTCAGCCAGGTCACGATCTCGCGGTCCGTGAGTTCGAGCCCCGTGTCAGGCTCTGGGCTGATGGCTCAGAGCCTGGAGTCTGTTTCCGATTCTGTGTCTCCCTCTCTCTCTGCCCCTCCCCCGTTCATGCTCTGTCTCTCTCTGTCCCAAAAATAAATAAACGTTGAAAAAAAAAATTTTTAAAAAAAGAAAGTTCACAATATACACGAAACTAAATGTTTTGGCTGGCAGCGATCATGCGAAACCTGTTTATTCTTAGAATGGCCTGACCCATAAGAGTCTTGATATAAAAGATTGTGTACAGCAACAATAAAGCCGTCACTTGGGCCATCAGCCCAGGGGACCCTCCTGTTCCCAAACTGGCTTCTCTTTTCTTTCTTACATTCCCCTACCCTCAGGACCCTGATCTCGGTGTTTGTTGCGCTGGTCGCAACAATTCCCTATTGTTTATACAGAAAAAAAATTCCTTTCGCTTAGCTGATATGTGGTATCTCTATAATATCATCTTCTCTACTGCTCCTGAACAAATGCTCAAATGTTGAGTTGAATGTTACAAGACACTGAAAGTTCTTTTTTAGCAAGCATTTTCAAATCACTCAACATTTCTGCAACTCACATTTCTTCCAGTACCCATAATTTTATTTTATTTATTTATTTTTTTAAATTTTTTTTTCAACGTTTATTTATTTTTGGGACAGAGAGAGACAGAGCATGAACGGGGGAGGGGCAGAGAGAGAGGGAGACACAGAATCGGAAGCAGGCTCCAGGCTCTGAGCCATCAGCCCAGAGCCTGACGCGGGGCTCGAACTCACGGACCGCAAGATCGTGACCTGGCTGAAGTCGGACGCTTAACCGACTGCGCCACCCAGGCGCCCCAAGTACCCATAATTTTAAATCACATCGCCAGTGGGAATGTGTGTGTTTATTTCTGCCCATGTGTCTCTACCCAGCTGTCAATCCTTGTGTGACACACCTCTCTCCTTACTTTCAATCTTCCTTTGGTTCAGGCTAATGTTCTTTTACTACTTTCCTCTGTAATATCCCCACACCCCAGATTACTCTTCATGGACCTGATGGACTGCTAAAAAGGATTAAGCAACGTAATGGCCAAGGGATGTCACCTCTGTAGTCCATGTAGTCTTGGAGAATATCCAACATCTGGGTCATTTGGGAGAAAAGTAAAACTCGATGGCCCCTGGCAAGAAAGAGAAAAGGAAAGGCTGCCAACTCTAGGTATTTAAGGTGAGTTTCCCTCAGGTGAAACCTACCAAAGAATACAATTACCAAAGGGGAAATATAAATATCATAATCATTTACAGAGACTTCCTCAGACATGCTAAATGTTCCACATAAATAGCTCCACATGTAGTCATATCCTGCAGAGCACAAGTTCTCAAACTGGAGTGGGGATATTCCCAGGAGCAAATGTCAATGCACTAGAGGCTATAGAAAGTCCTAGTACAACCAAGAAACCTCTTTCTAGAATGTCAATTTACTAATGGAGAGAAAAATACACTTTCTTTTTAACAGAAAAATAAAGAAAGATACAGGAAGAATAAAATGCAAAATTCAAATGCACAAAAGCCCAAGTCAGAAACCCCAAAGAACTTGGGGTCAGCCATCCATAGCCATTCTCTACTTGGGGAGTATAAAATCACTAGCCTCTCATCTCCAGCTATATTAGTTGAAAAGTCTGCAAAGTATCACTTTAGAGAAGCAAGGGGCAGGTGGCATCTCATATCCCCTACAATACATTAAAAAAACTTATTTATGTACAGGGAGAAGAGAGGAAAGGAAAAGGAAAAATGAATTAAGTCAAGAATGAAGATGAGCCTACAGTCCTATGTTATCAGGTAATATTTAAGTTTTCATAAAGAAATACGGCACTATCAAAACAAGAGTCTCATTAGGAAAACTAATTTAATCTGAGCTTGCGATGCACATAAAGGAACAATTATGAAGAACCCTTTCAAGACTGTAGCCTCAAATACTTGGAAAGGACATTGAACTTGAAGCCAAGGGCCTCAATTCTAATCCCATCTCTGTCATTTGCTGGCTGTGTGACTTTAGACAAGTCATGACCACTCTGGGCCTGTTTTATCACCTGTGAAATGAAAAGGTTGGACAGAAGATGTTTATGGGTCCTCCTGTACCTCAAACACACTTATAGTAGATATATCACAGCCAATAAAATATAGTAAGACATGCAATTATTTGATTTGCACATTCCTAATGTTGGGTGATTTCGCCAAATCTGAGGTTTTGAGGTTAGTTCAGGCCCACTTGGGGCAGTTGTCCCATAGGGACAACTTAGAAACCCTTGGGAAGCTGGGCTTTTTCTAGACTCCTCTGTCCTACTGGGGACCAGAAGGATCAGGTAGAGGCTGGCCACCAGCCTACTGAACACTTAGCTGAACATATTTTCAAGCTCCAGAAGTGACTTAGTCTTCTGCTACCCAATTCATGTCTCTGGGAAAGAATCCCCCAAGTTCGCCCTGAACCAAATGCCACAGGTTAACCAAAGTGAAGATTTACAAAGCCTTCATTAGGTGCCAATTAATGCAAGGTACCAGCAAGTAATTAAAAAAGAAATGCTTGATGTTATCTCTTTGTGGAACTAAACAATACAGCTGGAGTGATAAGATTAATACCAATTAACCAGACAACAGATTAAGGCAGTGCATTGCCAAGTGCTAGATTAGGATCCTAGGTGCTATAGGAATTCGGGAAAAGGAAGGATGATTATGGAGGGGATGGGGTGGGATGGGGATGGCTGTGGGTGTAGTTGGCGAGAAGATGGAACCAGAATCGGGGTCTTAAAAAAAAGGGAAACTGGAATTAGTCTCAAGAAATCAATGAGTTGTTCATTATTCTGGTTTTAAAAATCACCAGCTCAGAGCAGAAAATGTGAACCAACCACCTACCTGGAATACAGGAATGCCAGGAGCTTATCCAGTAGATGAAGTTTCCCACTGGCCTCAATCAGGTGGTCTCCAATTTCAAAAGGCTCTGGTTCCACACCTGAAAAATGTGTCCCCAGTCAGGGCAGACTCCTTGAGTAGAGAAGCCAAAGGCAAGGCCACAGCAAGAGGCCAAGCTCCTTCTGATAATGGGCCCAAGTCTCATCTCTCTTTGAGGCATTTATAATTATGTGTTTGCATGATAATCTCAGTGCTGCTTTTAACATCAGTCACAGAGCCAATACCCCCAATATGACAAAAAATGTCCATTCAAGGAACAAGCCCACTCTTTAGGAAAAGGAGGCACAGGGACATGCTAAAGTCCAGAGAATTGAAAATTTGAGACTCTCGCTTGAGAAAACAAATCAAGAAATACAGCTTAGATGTATAAACTAGTAACTCTCAAGCTGGGGGATGGCAGTCAGAATAACCTAGAGGGCTTCTTTCAAAATCTACAAGTTCCCAATCCCCCCCTGCCTTAAAAAAAGATTCTGAAATGCACCTGATTAAGACTCTGCAATTCATAGTACTACCTGGCAAACACTCCCTTAAAAGAACTGCAGCAAACCCTCCACATTGGTCCTACCCATTCTAGTCCTCCCAAGGCCGCAAAAGTCCTGGAAGCGTCCCAAAGGCTACCTGTCAGAATGACTCAAAAAAGCCCTAGTCTGAATGAAAATGAAAACACTACATATTGAGATGTGCGGTGTGCAGCTAAAACAGCATTTAGAGGGAAATTTGCAGACATCTCTAAGGTACAGGGAAAGCAGCGAAGGAGGCTAAGGAGTGGATACAGGCAAATGGAGAAGTAATAGAAAGCATTCCAAAAGCCAAAGGAAGAAAGTGTTTCAAGAAAGAAGTGATCAACCGTGTCAAAGGTTTTAAGAGGTTAATTAAAATGTGAACGGACAACCATTGAAGGTATCACTGGTAAACTTGCAAAGTTCAATGGCGATGATGAAAGGCTGGCCATGGAGTGGGTTTAAGACAATGGGACATCTATTTAAATTTTTTTTTTTTTTCAATGTTTATTTATTTTTGGGACAGAGAGAGACAGAGCATGAACGGGGGAGGGTCAGTGAGAGAGGGAGACACAGAATCGGAAACAGGCTCCAGGCTCTGAGCCATCAGCCCAGAGCCTGACGCGGGGCTCGAACTCACGGACCGCGAGATCGTGACCTGGCTGAAGTCGGATGCTTAACCGACTGCGCCACCCAGGCGCCCCGACAATGGGACATCTAAACACGAAGACATGATCCCTAAATCCAGATGAGACAACCCATGAAACAACTGGCCTTGATTCTTCAAAACTGTAATTTCATGAAAGACCAAAAAAGGCAAAAAAAAAAAAGCAAAGGAGACAGCCAAATATAATTCAGGATCTGTGGCTGGATCTTGAATTTGAAAAGAAAAATCAAAGCCATGGGGAAGACATTAAGGGGACAAATGAAGAAAGTTGAATATGAACAGTATACTAAATTACGTCAACATAGAAAAATTAGAAAGAAAATGGGGAGAACACTAGACAGTAAATATGGAAAATTCTTTTCAAGAATTTTGCTATGATGTTGGCCACAGAAATATTCATGAAAAGCAATGTGAGAAAAAAGGGCACTGTCTCACCATCAAACAAATACGGGTGATCCACACACTTCCGAAGCTGGGACAAGACATTCTGAAGTTTAACTTTCTTTGCTGTCTCATTTTCAAATGCAGCTGTAAACAGAGACACAGGGAGAAATGGACTTTTGAACAAAAACAAAAAACTCAAAAACTCTACGTTTCCATATATAACCTTATTTATTTCAGTATATATCTCTCAAACCTATAATAACCTCCTAAATTTCACTGAATTGCATTAAGAATTAGCAGCATATTGGGGCACCTGAGTGGCTCAGTCAGTTGAATATCCAACTCTTGATTTCAGCTCATGTCATGATCCCAGGGTCATTGGCTCGAGCCTACATCAGGCTGTACACTGACCATGGGGCCTGCTTAAGATTTTCTCTCCCTCCCCCTCTGTCCCTCTCCCCAACGCGTGCATGCTCTCTCTAAAAAAAATGCAAAGCGACAGACTCCACATTTCCACTCCCAACTCCTCCCAGTGAGTCTTATTCAAACAAAAAAGGTGTGCAATATGTTAAATATGTGACAGGGTGGAAAGATGAAAGGTGTCACCGGCCTACCTAGAATGTTTGCTTAACTAACTGCTACACAGTATGGACAACTGGGTGGGGGAAGAAAAGGAAATTTCACCAGTGCAACAACCAGTAAAGTCTGCGTTCCAGTAAAGATACCCTGCACAGTTTCACTGCAGCTGACTGAACGATATTCAGAATACAAAATCCCATCCCGTATTGCTATACGAAGCATGCGTGATAATAAAATATTCCCCTCCATGAAAATCACATCCTGAGTTTCTGAGCAGTCAAGTGCCCTCTGATTACCTAGGTCTTTCATCAGAATGGCCTTGTAGTATTTTTTCTGCAATGCTGACAGGCCATGGTATATCACCACCTCTGTCTTCTTGGGAAGCTCTGTAGCTACCTCGGCTTTCACTCGCCTCAGCAGAAATGGCTGCAAGAGCTTGTGTAGTTCATTTGCTGTGTAAGGAAAGAAACCAACAACACAAGAAGTAGGACAAAATTTTCATACCAATTCCACATGCTAGACCAGTCTTGTCATTTTTCATAATACAGGTGAGCCTTGAACAACGTGGGTTTGAACTACACAGGTTGACTTAAGTGCAGATTTTTTTTTCCCCCAACAAATACACTATGGTACTGTAAATGTATTTTCTCTTCCTTAGGATTTTCTTAACATTTCTTTCCTCTGGCTCACTTGATTGTACGAATACAACATACAATACATGTAATGCACAAAATAGGTCTTAACTGTTTACATTATCGGTAAGGCATCCAGTCAATGGCAGGCTATTGGCAGTTAAATTTGGGAAGTCAAAAAGTTATAGCAGATTTTCAACCGTGGGAGAGGGCAGTCAGCACCCTATCCCTGTACTGAAGGATCAACTGTGTTTCTTTCTTCACCGGGTTCCTTTTCCCATTTCCTTCTGGAACTATTCCTGGCTCTCAACTCAAGAACTAGGAACACGCAAAGAACTTGATTTTTATTAATAATCTCATTTGCATGGAGTTGTACTGTTTCCAGCATACTTCTGCACTTAATTTGATTGACTAGCATAAGGGTTTAGAAGTAAGTGTAGGACAAGGACTATTGTCCCCATTTTTATAGCTACGTTAAGCAAGGCTCTGCGAAATTAAGCACACTTATCCAAAGTCACACAGCTGGATGTTAATGTTGCATTCAAACTTAGTTCCTTTCACTTCAACGCCCCTGCTCCTTCCCCAGGGGTCATGAACTTCAGAAACTGGCCTGAGCTGGCATTCTGCTCCATGTTGGGTTGCCAGGTTCAGCAAACAAGATACAAGAATGCAGTGAAATATAAACTCCACATAAACAGCAGACACTTTTTTAATAGGAGTATGTCCCATGTAATATCTGACGGGCTGCCGTGTGTTTTATCTGGACCCTAAACATGGGGGCAATGAGAGCAGGCTTGCAGGATGGGCAATCTTCAGCTTGCAGGATGGGCAAGGTGTGAGAAGCCCTTCCAACTCCTACTCACCCAGGACATGCACACCCACTGGCAGGCTTGCCTAGCATTGGTGTTGAACACTCGTCCCGGGATAATACTACAGGGACAGAGAATTCTACGAGGCAGAGGGGCAAGGGTGCAAGAGGAAGACCGCAACTGGCAGCTGTACAAACGAGGATGCTTCCTGCTTCACTCCCACCATGCATCCATCCCAGACTTCTGATTTTGGTGCACAGAGAACAGAAACACCAGTGCTGTGGAATGCTGAAGAGTAGTTCGGGACTCTGGCACCCCATATACTTTTCTGCCTCAGGAAATAGCATAGAAAGTTAACAGATTACAAAATTATAGAAATGACAGGTGAGGGGGAAAAAAAAGTCTGCAAACCAGCAGACACTTTCCATTTCTTCCAAAAATGACCCATGAAGCCCCGCTGTAAAATCACGTAACAAGCAAATAAGAATCATGAATAGCAGACAACTGGGAACGACATGAGGGGATCTAGCACCACCTTAGTTTTGGGTGGCTCTTTCTCCCTAGAAGGTGTCGTCTGGTTATCAATTCTCTTTCTTTTCTATCTATAACCAGTGTCTATTATGCACCAGGCCAATTTCTGGGCCCAGACCTCTTGGCATGATTTGTAGGAAGGGAACTTGCCTGACTTGGATTCTTTCTCGATATCCTGGTAACGCTGAACAAAATCTCCCACCTGCTCCTTGGGAAAGACATCAGGCTCCACAAAACTGAGGAGGGAGTAGAGCTCTTGGAGGCTATTCTGGATGGGAGTTCCGGTCAACAGGAGACTGAAGACTACTGAGAACTCAAATACATAAAATAAAAATTAAAAATCCATGACCTCGGAAAGCAAGACTGAGTTACCCATGAAAACCTTTACAGAGAGAGGCATGATTTAATGGGGTGACAATGAAGACATGAAATCAGAGGACTCAGGTTCAAGTTGTATGCCAGCTGTTTGATGGCAGGAATAATACTTCTTCAGTTTCAACTGTAAGAAGGGGATGATAATCCTGGGAAGGAGAAACTGTTACAAGGAGGTGAGTAAAATCACTATGTGAACTCTGAAGTACTACATGAATATTCTATATGATTATTATTGTTCAATCTTTGTGAGAATTCAAGCAGTATGTTACTACCCACATGGTGAGTCTATTGAGACTTCAGAAGCACATGGTATATACTCAAGAGTTTGAAAAAGCTATAGCATCAGGCCCACCACTACAAGCAGGAAGCAAAAAGATCTAGACTAAAAGAATGTCCTTTTATAAAACGTAAGTGTATCACATCCAAAACATCAAGACTTCTGGATGTTTCTGAGCCTCATACAGCATAAATGAAAGAAAGTCTTTAAATTTTGAGCAGGTGATGAGAACACCAAGAGTAAGAGAATAATGAAATAAAAGGTTAGGAAAAACAGTAACAGATACTAGGTTAAGCAAAAGACAAGCTCTAAATTCACATTTATAAGAACTTATACCATTTGAGTTAAATAATGAAGCAAAACTGAAAAGCCATATCTTATATATTTCATTTAAAAAAATGAAATATAGTGTATGTATATGTACATATATACCCTTATGTATATAGACATACTTATTAAATACAAAAATACAGTATATTTTGATTTCTAGAATAACAATATGCATACTTATATGTTTAGGTGTTCATATGCACAGCAAAGGATATGGAAGCAGATATGTCAAATGTTAATGTATGCAGGGGAGTAAATTATTAGTGGCTTTTATTTATTTTTTAATGTTTTTTTATTTATTTTTGAGATAGAGAGAGACAGAGCATGAGCAGGGGAGGGGCAGAGAGAGAGGGAGACACAGAATCTGAAGCAGGCTCCAGGCTCTGAGCTATAAGCACACCCAACTGACTTGAGCCACCCAGGCGCCCCTAATGCCTTTTATTTTTATTCTTGTGTTTCTGTATTTAGATTTGGGAAAGGGTCATAAGATGATACAGCTTTGTAGTAAGGTAATAAATGAAATGCAATTAAAACTGATTTGAGAATGTCATTACTATTTTTTTTTTTTGCAATCTCTTTTATTTTTTTTCTTTTTAAATTGTCTAATCAATGTCCATCCACTCATGCCTGCTCTGCTTGTAGGACAATGTTTTCATAGTACTTCAAGTATGGGAACTGGTCAGAAATAAATGCTTCCAATAACCAACTCAAATTTTTATATGTGTTCACCAAGCAAAGAGCTGGGGTGACTGAAAAAGATGAGGGCTGCCAGTCACTACAGTCAACTTAGACTGTCACATGAGCTCACGTACTTATTCAAAGTAGTGTGTCCATTTTATCACTGGGTGAAAAAAATCCGGAGCTGATCTCGTTGTATACAGTATTTTATAAACTTTTCTACATAATCTTCCACAGCAGCCTTACTCTGTCAAGGTACCGTACTTACTTTTGTGAATGTACTTTGTAAACGTCAACGAGGCGTAGCATAAATTGTAGAACCAACTCCCTATGTTTCAATACAAACTGCTTCCAACTTTCACAAACAAGCTGAAAACAGTATTAGCCCACCTCTCAGCCCTATCAATAAATGCATTTCTCTCCAACCAACAAGTAGTTTGCGATTCAAACGTCACCTAAAAAGGAATGCTTAGATGACACACAAAATTTCCTCACATAATCTCTGAGCCTTAGTTTCCTTATGAACAAGGAAAGGCTCTGGGGCCAGCAATAGAACTTAGTTTCCCCACTCCAAACCTGGGGTTCCTTTACTACACCTGCTTCTCCTCTCCCATTATATTTTAGTAAACTGGCATGGTAGTTTATGACGCAGTGTCTTATAGAGTGAGGTGCCAGAATATGACAATCCTTTGGGAAAAAGATACTGTTAAGAGTCCCAAAATGAAGGCAAACACAGAGCAGAGTCAGCCCCACCAGGGGATAGCAATCTCTGAGACTGGACCAATAACAGTGACCATATCTTCATCAAAATATCAAAAACTCCAACTTTTAGCCATTAAATACAGAATTCAGACCTAAGACTTTCCTCTAAGTCACCTCTAATCTTATTATCTGATTGGTTATAGGACAGGGACCAAACTTCAGTGATGGTCACAGGAATTCACACATGTGGTCTCATGAATAAGCCTTTATGAGGTCAGCAAACAGAAAGGCACTTCTTACTCACAAGCTGTTCCACTGGCTCCTCAGAAAAGAGGGCAAGGCTAGGGCTACACTGACATTTCTCGTTTCTCACTGTGCCAGAATGATGGCAAAGATCAAGAGAAGGGAAGGAGATCAAGGGTGTCACACTCAAAAGTATGACAAAGACAAGAGAGACTGCAGCTAATAGTCAATGGCATGCAATGGTCTCTTTATGACTCCACGTGAACTGTCAAATTTTTTAAGATGGTAAATGGGGGGAAGGGTACAATATGTCAGATATAACTGCTATTGCAGACAGAAGAGTTATAATAAGATTAATTTTAAAGAACCACCCCTTTGAAGAAGATCAAAAGAGAGCTGAAACATTTCTAAAACTACAATGTATTTTACTGGGATAGCATCTTATTACCTGATAACCAGATTTCAGTACACGTTATTTCCTGTGTAAAAGATGAGAGGAAGGAGCAGTGAGGCCATATAAGTACTACCTCTGTCACTCATGAAATGTTTATTTAGCCCTAGAGAAATCGGGACTGAAAAAAAAAATGTTTCAACTTAACTAACTCTACACAGGCCTAAAATAGTATTTTTCAAAAGGAGATTATACAAAAACTAAGACTATCCTGTGAGTTTACCTCTGAAAGTGTCTTATGCAGCAAGGAGCTTTGGTTTTTCAACCTGTGAGCTTCATCCACAACAAGAACACTCCAAGGGAAGCTGTGAGAAAAAAATCCAAGCTTTCAGTTTTGTGTAAAAACTCCAACATATATCTTGTAGCCAAAAAGTCTTACCATAAAAATAACTATTGTTGGCAAGACTAATATTAAGCCCATTCTATTAGAAACACACTCAAGTTTCTTTCTTATCTGAAAGCCTGCCATGTACATGAGACAACATCTGGATAAGGCAGTAAATTTAAGGGAATTTTTTTCCCAAGACAGGAAAGACCTGTGCATAAAGGCAGAAAAGAAGGAGCTGGAGACAGAAAGCAAAAGGAAACATTTATGACCACCAACTATGTGCCAGACACTGTGCTTGGAGCTTTATGTCTGTTATTTAATCCAAAGGAATATGGTGAGTAGACATTATTGTGCTCATTTTAGCAACAAGGAGACTAAAGCTCAGAAAGATTAGGTAACTAGGTCAAGGTCATAAAGCTAGAATGCAGTGGAGCTGAGATTTAAACCCAGAAGAAAAATTATGAGAAATTGGTGTCACAGTAGCTTAAAAAGCGTAATTTAAAAAAATGGGGAAGCAGTGAATAAGATCAAATGTTACAGACATCCAGGAAGATACATCTGTTGGATATACTAGTATGGAGGTCTTTGGTGGCTACTTCCAAAGCACATTTTGTAGCATAGTAAATTACAACAACAATTTCTCAAGACCTGAGCCAAAATCAAGAGTCAGAGGATTAACTGACTGAGCCACCCAGGCGCCCCAAGATGTTTATTTTTTTTGAGATGCTCTTCAAAAGTCTCCACATGGGGCACCTAAGTGGCCCAGTCGGTTTAGTGTTGGACTCCTGATTTCAGCTCAGGTCATGATCTCATGGTTCATGAAACTGAACTCAATATTAGGCTCCATGCTGACAGCACACAGAGCCTACTTCTGATTCTCTCTCTCTATCCCTCCCCCACTCTCTCTGTCTCAAAATAAATAAAATTTTTTAAAGAGGGGTGCCTGGGTGGCTCAGTCAGTTAAGCATCGGACTTCGGCTCAGATCATGGTATCATGGATCGTGGGTTTGAGTCCTACATTGGGCTCTGTGCTCACAGCTCAAAGGCTGGAGCCTGCTTCGGATTCTGTGTCTCCCTCTTTCTCTCTGCCCCTCCTCCACTCACGCTCTCTCAAAAATAAACATTAAAAAAAAAAATTAAAAGAAAAAGTCTCCACAACACCAAGTGGTACATTTGGATGTCTCTTTGCCATTATTAGCAATGTGGCCTCAGCTGAGTTACCTAATCTCTTGCTTTCTTCATTTAGAAGATCTATACTTGCCTACTAGGCTTTTCATGAAGGTCACCTAGGATACTTTAAGTAATCAAAAACATATATGTAACAGGGTACCTGGGTGGTTCAGTTGATTAAGTGTCTGACTTCAGCTCAGGTCATGATCTCAGTTCATGAGTTCAAACCCCGCGTCGGGCTCTGTGCTGACAGCTCAGAGCCTGGAGCCTGCTTCAGATTCTGTGTCTCCCTTCTCTCTCTGCCCCTCCCCTGCTCACACTCTGTCTCTCTCTCAAAAATGAATGAACTTAAAAAAAAAAAAAAAACCATTTATGTCCCAATTTTCTCGCCTTTTGAGACTTCCCACATCCTGCCTTGTACTATGAATATCTGTATAGTGCCTCTCCCTCTACTGGAGTCTATGTCCTCTTAGGGAGCTCTACAGTTTACTTTCCTGGCACTGCTGGTAACTCCCAAACAGTGTCTTTCCAGAGAAGAGATCTTCAACAAATATTACGTTAGATACTAATTATAGAAAAAAGAAAAAGAGAGGGAAGCCTATTTTCTTCTTTAAAAAAGAAAAAAAAGTTTATTTATTTAGAGAGAGAGCATGCAGGGGAAGGAGAGAGAGAGGAGGGGAGAGAGAGAGAATCCCAAGCAGACTCCGCACCGTCAGCATAGAGTCCGACGCGGAGCTCGAAATCACGAACTTTGAGATCATGACCTGAGCTGAAATCAAGAGTTGGACGCTCAACCGACTAAGCCACTCAGGCACCCCAAGCCTATTTTCTTCTTAAGAAGAGTAAGATAACATGCTTACTTAAAGGAAACTTATGGGTTGGAAGTCATGAAATCTATGACTGGGCCTTCAGTATCTCAAAATAAGATGAAAACAGAAATCCAACTCAGAAGAAGCTAGATGAGAACATTTAAAATATTGAAGCACTTTGAAAACAGAAGTTTCTCCCCACCTAACCACATCAAAACTACGCATGCTTTGGAGAATGAAACCGTGTCAATGTACCTTTTCTTATGTACCTAAAGTCTAGCTAGTGTTGAATTTACATTGTAACTGTAGTCTCAACCCTATACTGCAACATATCACCCATGGTGTTAGGTGGTATGGAAGAATTAAATCTAAGCTTCCTATGCATCATGAGCTGATGTGAAAGCCTAAAAGCGAACTAATTAAAAGTATATTTAAAACTCCCTTCCTAAAAAGTTAATTTCATAGCACTGACTGCTACTTTAAGATACTTCCAGGAAAAGGCTCAAATAATTCACCTCCTATATTGCAGTAAAATCTCTAAAGAGCAGTCCTAAAAGGTATCTGTGCAATCTGCAAAGAATCTAGTATTTATTAACCACCCATCACAGACACCTTATTTAATCCTCACAACAGCCATCCAAAGTAGAGATTATCCTCCTTTTACCAACAAAGAAGCTGAGGTTCACTAAGGTTAAGTAACCCAGGGACACACAGCTAATGAGTAAGGGCTAGACTGCAGGACTACTCTATGCCACACCAATCTGTAAGTAACACTCATGGAAGACATACCAGGAAGTGTGCCAGATATGACATGAAAGATAAAGTACTAAAACGTAAAGGAAAGACGTGACTCTCATGATATATTCAACAGTTTCTGAAGTACCGCAACATACTCACGATTTTAGAAATGATGAATCTTTCAAGCAAATCTGAAAAATTAAGGAAAAAGACACATTATAAAGGCTAGTATTAATACAACTGATATTAATAAACTAGTTTCTTGTTAGCTAAATCTTATACTTTAGGAGAGTTAAGTCTTAATCATTCACTAAGTAAAAAAAAGTTGTGAGCATAACTTCTAAGTAGCACTATCTTGAAGAAAAACAAAACCTAGGCAGGAGTAAGTGGAAGGTCTTGCCTTCACTTTAAGACTAAAAACTTCAAATGAGACTGGAACTGAGTACCCTCTACTCTCATCCTGCAGTAACAGGCAACCCCTCAGCCCACAAAACCCTCTCCCCTGCCTGCCTCCTCCTTCCTCCTATTCACTGGCCAACAGGCAGCTCAAATGCCACCCCCTTCACCGGGGCACCTTTGCTCTTGCCGCACCAGGAAAGAAGAGACATTCAGCGAATTTGGAACACAGTAGTCCTTCACTTCCTTTGGTCACAATCCCTCTCTGACAATCTAATGAAAGTAGACTTCTCTCCCAGAAAAATGCATGCTCTCCAAAAAAATTAATTCCAGTAGATTCTCCAACCTCTACGGTCCCACAGTTAAGAGTTCTTGATAGAAATAAATTCAAACCTCATAGGTAGTTAGCAGCACATGAAAACGTGACTCTTGTTTCAGGTCTTGCTGTAGGTGGGCTCTCTCCTCCTTGTCACCTGCATATGTTACACAGGAAAGCCCTGGAGCAAATCTGGATCCAAGAAAAGAGGTAGATGAACACCAATGTACAGCCAAAGGGAAGGGTGTGCATATCTAGAAAATTACATTTCATGGAAGGATTACTGACATGCAGACTTCAAGATGTCCTGCAACCAGAAAGAGTCCTGAACTCTGAAATCTCATCTATGGTAACAGGTAAACCTATAGGTAAGTTTCTGTGTGAACAGACGGAAGGATCAGATGAACATCTACAAGGGCCTTGTGCTAATTCTAAAGAGAAAACTATTTTTTTCCATGTTGGTTACTTCCTATGTCACTGTGAAAAAGATAGTTTCTCCTCTAGTTCAGCAAAATTTACTGAGTACCGTTCTGTGTTGTTACTGAGTAACAATAACACCCACTTAATCCTCCCCCCATCAGATTCTGTCTCTACCTTTATTGCTCAGGTCAGAGTATTCTGGAAGAAATAAAATCACTGCTTAGGACAATATGTTGCTTTATCACATTTCACTATCACCAGAAAAAAAAAAAATCATACTCAATGTAAAAAAACAAAATTTCAGCTACATCTACTCTGTACCTCTCCATCTCTTCTGTCCAGTTGCTCAAAACAGACAAGGGGCAAAGAATCAGAAATGGTCCTTCATCATTTAATCTTCCTGCCAAGTAAATGAAGAGAGCAATAGTCTGGAATACACAAAAAGAAGGCAATTTTTATAACATTTATTACTTTTCCGTGAGAAACAACCACAAAGTTCCCACAACCTTGTAGGGAACACAAACTCTTACAGAAGACTTGGTGTATAAAACAATAATGTACAATCTTCCACACAATGGGAGAGTCATCCAATCCTAGAGTGAAATCCTTTAAGCGTAAATATAATTGCCAAAGAAATTCATGGTACTCAATTACATCAATAGTTAACAAGCAATGAAGCTCAGTATTTATGTAATTAACCCTGCAATGCAAAGGGAAAAAATCAGGAAAGACAAACAGAAATAAATGAAAAAATACAAATAATGCACAAGATCAAGAACACTCCAAAAACCTAAGGCAAGGACTTCCAAGATGTGACTAAAGATGGCCTACCACGAGGTGGCCTCCGCTGCTTGCCACACTCTCCTGAGGGAGGATGCCTTCCTTCCTAACTCCCTCCCTCCTTTCCCTAATGTTTGCCGTCCTTCCATGTGCATTTATAGAGCACCTTCTATTTGCTAGCACTGTTTTAAGTTCTAGAATATAACACTGAACCAAACAGACAAAACTCCTAGCTCTCTTGGAACATATGTTCTACTGAGGAAAACAAACAATAAATAATTCATAAGCTTAAGTAGGCCTAAAAAACAAAAATCTTTGTAAAGCCAAATAGGCACATTTTAGGATAAGGCTGTACACACAGCCTTTAAAAGTTTCTTTAAAAGGTTACTATAGGGGCACCTGGGTGGCTTAGTCGGTTAAGCATCCAACTTCGGCTCAGGTCATGATCTCAAGGTTCATGGGTTTGAGCCCTGGGTTGGGCTCTGTGCTGACAGCTCAAAGCCTGGAGCCTGCTTCAAATTCTGTGTCTCCCTCTCTCTCTGGCCCTCCCCAACTTGCACTCGGTCTCTCTCGCTCTCTCTCAAAAATAAATAAATATTTTTTAAAAAACTTTTATGGGAATGCAAGCTGGTGCAGCCACTCTGGAAAACGGTATGGAGGTTCCTCAAAAAACTAAAAATAGAACTACCCTACAACCCAGCAATTGCACTACTAGGCATTAATCCATGGGATACAGGTGTGCTGTTTCGAAGGGACACAGCAGCACTAACAATAGCCAAAGTATGGAAAGAGCCCAAATGTCCATCGATGGATGAATGGATAAAGAAGATGTGGTATATATATACAATTGAGTATTACTTGGCAATCAAAAAGAATGAAATCTTGCCATTTGCAACTGTGTGGAGGGTATTATGCTAAGTGAAATTAGTCAGAGAAAGACAAAAATCATATGACTTCACTCATATGAGGACTTTAAGATACAAAACAGATGAACATAAGGGAAGGGAAGCAAAAATAGTATAAAAACGGAGGGGGGACAAAACATAAGAGATTCATGAATATGGAGAACAAACTGAGGGTTACTGGAGGGTTTGTGGGAGAGGGGATGGGTTGAATGGGTAAGGGGCACTAAGGAATCCACTCCTGAAATCATTGTTGCACTATATGCTAACTAATTTGGATGTAAATTTTAAAATATAAAAAATAGGGGCGCCTGGGTGGCGCAGTCGGTTAAGCGTCCGACTTCAGCCAGGTCACGATCTCGCGGTCCGGGAGTTCGAGCCCCGCGTCAGGCCCTGGGCTGATGGCTCAGAGCCTGGAGCCTGTTTCCGATTCTGTGTCTCCCTCTCTCTCTGCCCCTCCCCCGTTCATGCTCTGTCTCTCTCTGTCCTAAAAATAAATAAACGTTGGGAAAAAAAATTTAAAAATAAATAAATAAATAAATAAATAAATAATAAAATTTAAAAAAAATTTTATTTAAAAAAATAATAAATAAATAAATAAATAAATAAATAAATAAATAAATGTCTGCTGTGATATACAGAGAAAATACATTTTTGCTTTTATAAAGCAAAATGTTTAAGGAGCCCATTCCCAAATGCTGAACCATTTCTGTGAAAATCTATCCTAAAGATACAATCCAAAATCCTGAAAAGGTTATATGCCCAAGGATGTTCACAGTAAGGTTAATTTAAGTAGCACAAAAGGAGGGGAACTGGTCATTCCTCATCTGCAGAATATTTAAGTAAATTATGAATTCTCTTGATGAAGTATTATGTAGCCAGCAGAAAATGACTGTGAAGAATATAATCAAATGGGTAACTACAATGACAATGTTAGATTAATAAAATACAAACTATAGGGGCTGCTGGGTGGCTCAGTCAGTTAAGTGTCAGACTCTTGATCTCAGCTCAGGTCTTGATCTCAGGGTCATGACTTCAGGCCCTGCACTGGGCTCCATGACCAGCGTGGAGCCTACTTAAAACAAACAAGCAAACAAATGATATGCTCACTATAATGTCAGCCATTTCAGATACCTTGCTGCGCACGGTTATGGTTAGAGTGTTGTGGTTAGAGGGTGGCAATTACTTTTTAACTGAGATAACATTAATTTTACAATGGAAATCATTTCCTTTTTTAACTATCCATTGCTTCGCAGCCCAGACTGTGCCAGAGCAATCACCAAATTAAGTACTTACTAGAAGAAAATCATTCTGTTCAGCTTTCACGGAGGTTACTATTGAGAGAAAACTTATCTTTTGTTACCATAAACCAGATATATCTACAAAATTTGGATTCATTAGTGAATTCTACCAAACATTTAAAGAAGAAACAATACCAATTCTACACAAATTCTTTTAGAAAACTCAAGAGGACAGAATATTTCTCAGTTCATTCTATGAGCCCATCTTTTTTACCACAACGCTAAAACCAAAGACGTCATAAGAAAAGGAAACTAGAGACAAATATCCTTCATGAACACAAATGTGAAAATTCTAAACAAAATTTTAGCAAGATGATAGAATGTTTTTAGGGCACTTCAAGTAGAGCTATATGAACACTCTGGAGAAAGGCAAAGGACAAGTGGAATTTGCTGGCTCTGAATGAAGTCAGGGGGTTCAGTGCGGGAAGCAAAGGAGACTGCAGGTGGGGGGCTCTGTACATGATCCAAGTGTCTCTCTTTTTTTTTTTTATTTTTTTTTTAATGTTTATTATTTGAGAGAGAGAGAGAGAGAGACAGAGAGCAAGCAGGGAAGGGGCAGAGAGAGAGGGAGACACAGAATCAGAAGCAGGCTCCAGGCTGAGATGCCAGCACAGAGCCCAACGCGGGGCTTGAACCCACAGACCATGAGATCATGACCTGAGCCAAAGTCTGCCGCCTGACTATCCCACCCAGACGCCCCATGACCCAAGTGTCTCTTCAGAAGACTGGCTCCCAGAGACATCCAGAAAACTTACCTTTGTTCTAGTTCTACAGCTCTCAGTTCAGGAATGCACTAGAACCCAATTTATTTGCCTGAGAAACCTGAGAGTGACAAATGACGTCCTTGAGGGTACCATACTCACAGGTCATTTTGTATTCTGAAGAGCGCCAAGATCAATGAGCTACACTTGGCTTAGATAAAGTAGTCTCCCACACACAGTCACACACAATGCGCAGGGCTATGTGCCGAACTGCTCCAACTGGACTGTTTATGTATGGAGGGTCAGGCTTGCAGGGGCCAGTTGAGCTTCTAAAAGGACAATGAGACCTTCACTCATTCTGTGTGTTTACTGGCAAAAACCTTTTTGGTATGGGGAAACTTACACTTCCATAGTTTCTGATCAAGTGGCCTCTGCTGTATATCCTGACGCACTGACTTTCTTTGGTATTCTATAGATGAGTAAACCTTGTGTGACTAACCGAAGGGATGTCCGTATCTGAACTTTCAATCAATCCAACCCTACCACTGACATCTGTCAACACAGGGCTGTGCTGGTGATCACCCTACCAGAATAATTCATCTCAACACACCGTCTGCTTATCAATGCGCAAGGAGGCCACATCTCGTTCTCCAGGTCTCTAAACTAGGTCCTACCACTAGATAGCCCAGGCATTCTGGAAGACAGGATACTTCCTCTGAACTTCCCTAGCATGGCACAGAAATGAGAAGTAGCTCTACCACCCGTTAAGGAAAAGAGAGAAATGTCAGAAGTAATCCCATTAACTAGACAGAAGTATTTACTACAAAGGAGGGCAGAGTCAATTTGATCCCTGGGACAGGTATATTTGATTTACATAGAGAAAAACCTTGCCCATTAATTGCAATCCAATGTCAAGTTTAGATAAGCATAGTGACAGTTCAAAACCATCCTCGTAACTAGAAAAGTCAATACCAAGGACATGATCTCTTAACAAAGGTTCAGGCATTTCACCTCCTAATATAAAAACACTTACTGGTAGCTAGCAGCTACCAGCTACCAATAATGATGTGAGGAGGTATCTTAGTGGAGATGAACACTGGTCACTCACAGTAACATACCTGGCAGGTCTTACCCAGGCCCATCTCATCTCCCAGGATGCAGCCATTCTGACAATGGAAGCACTGGGCTAGCCAGTTGACCCCCTCCAGTTGATAAGAACGTAGATGAATCCCTAGAAATAAAAAATACAGCAAGTCTGAAGAGCAGACATTTCAGCACACACACAAGCTAAGCTATCTCCTAAAGACTTCAACTAAACAACACCATAGCTATATCCTTTGCTCAGAAGTCATAGAAATATAAACATTTGCTGACTTCCAAATGACTTTTTTCCCCCCCAAATGGCTTTTTGAGCAGACTCAGTCACTGTTACATTTGAAGACCTAAACAGCCTGTCACTGTCACGGGATGCACTTGACAGATGAGGAAGTCAACCTGGGAGCTGGCCTGTATGGTGCCTAGCTCTCATGCCAGTGTCCATTCTAGGAAAGAGGCATTACTAATGCAACATAACTACAAACAACAACACATGGAGGGTACATGTGTCTGTCTGCTTAATTGCAACCATTTAAATTTGCTATCTGTGCTAAAGGGAAAACTCAAGACAGGACAGGATTAAATTTTGTTTCAACAGAGGAGGAGCACTTAAGAACTGAAATGATGTTGCATACAGAATGTTTAACAGTGCACAAGGACAGCAGAAGATATCTGAAATGCACATGGAGCCACATTTCTCTCTCCTTTAAGAAAAAAAAAATCCAATTTCAGACAATAACCATATCTAGGGGAAAGGGAAGACCCCAAACATACTATTAACAAGAACATAACTTTCTGGTTTGAACTAATAACCTCTAAAAATAAAGTAGATGGTATATAATAATTGTAGAACATTAAAAAAAATGAACAAGCTATTTTTATTAAGCACTTCCTAAATACCAGGAAGAGCAGTGAACACTTTACATAAACTGTCTCATTTAATATCTACCACGATGTCATGCACTAGGTATTATCCCCATTTGTAGGCTAGCAAATTCAGATAACTGAGGTTCCAGTTCAAGATGGCAATGTGGGGGTGGTGGTGAAGGGATGGGCAAAATGGGTGAAGGGGAGTGGGAGATACAGGCTTCCAGCTGTAGACAATATAGGAATACAGTCAATGATATTTTAATAGCATTAAGTGGTAACAGACAGTGGCTACATTTGTGGTGAGCATAGCATAACATATAGATGCTGAATTGCTATGTCGTACACCTGAAACTAACGTAACATTGCATGTCAACTATACTCAAATTAAAAATAAACAAAATTAGAGACAAGATAAAATAAAATAAGATAAAATAAAATAAAATAAAATAAAATAAAATAAAATAAAATAAAATAAAAGTTTTAAAAATACAGCAACGTAGGAAGATCCTGAACTCACTTCCTCCCATGGATACACCAAATCTACAGCCATATATGGAACCATTTCCTCTAAAAAAAACTTAAAAACTGGCAGTGACCTCTCCACCTTGGGCAAGAGAGGGAAACCACACTGCAGAGGGCAGGAAAAACTGAGACACAATCTCACCATAAACCCCACCCCAAGACAGGACCCACAATCGGGAGAGGGCCAAGGGGTGCCCACAGTGGGCACCCAACTCTCAATACCAGCACCTGAGAGACAAGCACCCAAAACATGTAGCTTTGAAAACCAATGGGGCTGGCATCCACAAAAATCCATAGGGTTGTAGTAAACTGAGGAACAACTCTAAAAGGACCCACACACAGACTCACCTACACAGAAGCAACCCTCTGCAAGTGCGGACTTTATGTGAAAAAGACTCCCTTCCAAACTGTAAAGCACTGGTGTGGGGGCTGGGGCCTGCTGGGCACTCTCCAGGGGTGGAAGCCGGTGGCGCCATCTTCTTGCGCTCTCTCTGCCTTGCTATGCCATCTCTTTTTCTCTTTTCATTTCCCTTTTTCCTCTTCCCCTCCCACCCCCCCTTTTTTTCTTTCTTCAGTGGGTGTCATCTTCACACTATCCCTCTGTGTGCTCCAGAACACCGGTATCTCCCAGATGGGAGCTTCTACAAACACTTGATGCCCTAGTTTTTAACCTCTGGTGCCCTGGTTTCTATAAATGCTACCCAGGGGATGCTCCTTGATTGCTGCCTCTGGAGGTGAGGAGGGCTTGTGTTGCTGGGTCCCATGAGACAGTAGCAATTGGGAAATTCTGTTCTTGGCAGACTACCACACCCAGGGCACTGAACAGATAGCAGACAAAACACACCCCCAGTCTTTCTGAGAAAGAGGCCTATTTGCTTGTCCATGAGCTTTGGCCTGAATGGCAAACTTCTGGTTTGGTACACGCACAGGGGCCTACGGAGGTACTCTCCGGGAATGGAAGATGGTGGACGCCATCTTTGCACTTTCCCTCAGCCTCATTCCAATTCACCAGTATCTTCCAGAAAGGAGATTACACCCTTCCCTGGTGAGCCCTGAGTTTTGCAGCTGCTGCCAGGGCACACCTCTACACTGCCTAGCTCTGGTGACCAGCAGGGCTTATAGTCATGGCTTTACAGGACGTTAACAAATGAAGAAAGAGTTCTTAAACAGCTACCACCCCCAGGGCACAGCAAGAGCCAAGAGACCCAAGAGCTCAATCTTTCTATAAATGAGGCTTATTAGCTTCTAATTAAACACACATCTAAGAGCTAATTATAAGCCTTTCCTGAGACCTTGGAGGGAGGGCACCATCTTCACACTGTCCCTCTGTCACACTCCAGAGTGCCAGAATCTCTGCAGGGGAGCTCTTCCATGTCTGGTGCCCGCTTGTTACATCTGGTGCCCTGGTTTTTGTGATTGATACCCGTGACTGCCTGGCTCTGGTGGCTAGGGGGGCCTGCGTTCCTGGGTCCCACAGGTCTGTAACAACCAGAGAGATGGTTCTCGGCATGCTGCCACCCCCAGAGAACCAAACAGACTCCAGACTGAAACACCTGTCCGGGAACGTCAGCCTTAAGGCAAGCTTCAGCTTTCTCACGATCTAGAGGCTACGGAGGTGTTCTCAGGGAACGTAGGCCAGAGGGTGCCAGCTTTGCACTCTCACTCTGCCTCACTCTCACAGCTTGCCCGTGTCTCCCAGAAAGGTGCTTATACACATGTCTGGAACCCCAATTTTGTCACTACTGACCAACTTTTTAAGGGGTCACCTTACAATTGCCTGGCTTTAGAGGCAGTGAGGCTTTTGCTTGCAGTCCCATGTGACTATATATATTTATTTGCATCCTTTAAAAGCTGTAAGGGCCTGGCTTCCGATCAGCCTGAATCTAAATGCTTAAGATCCTCACCTTTGGGAAACTGACTGGTCTCGGCACACCCTCCACTAATGGGAACTATTAAAAATAAAATAGGCTGCTTGGGTAATCACAAAGATCTAAGAGATAACCAAGAGCTTAACAGGGCTGAAAGTCAGTTTTATCACCTACGTTATCACCTACACAAAACCAACCCTTCAAGACCGGGAGAGGTGTTTGTTTCATCATACACATAGAAACCTGGGTTCCTGGGTGGCTCAGTGGGTTAAGCATCCGATCGGCTCAGGTCATGATCTCATGGTTCGTGAATTCGAGCACCACATCAGGCTCTGTGCTGACAGCTCTGAGCCTGGGGCTGCTTTGGATTCTGTGTCTCCCTCTCTAAGCCCCTCTCCCGCTTGTGTGGGTACACTTGCGTGCTCTCGTGCTCTCTCTCTCTAAAAAGTAAATAAACAACAAAAAAAGAAACCAATACGGAGTGAGAGTCAAAAGCACAATGAGGATGAATATGTTCCAACCAAAAAACAGATAAACCTTGGGGAAAAATTTCAAGGAAATTGAGTTAAGTAATTTACCTGACAAAGAGTTCAAAGGCATAAAGGCACTCATCAAATTCAGAAGAGTGGATGAACTACATGAGAACTTCAACAAAGAAACAGAAAATATGAGTTCCAAACAAAACTCAGAGAGCTGAAGAACACAATAACTGAAAGAAAAAAAAAAAAACAACACAGAAAACAAAACAAACCCAACAACAGAGTTCAACGGCAGACTAGATGAAGCAAAGAAAAGATCTGTGAACCTAAAGACAGAATAGAGGAACTGACCCAAACAGAATAGCACAAAAAATGTTTTAAAAATGAAGATAGCTTAAAGGGACCTCTGGGACAACATAAAGCACACTAACATTCACATGATAGAAGTCCCCGAAGGAGAAGAGAAAAGGAGGGAGAAAACTCATTTGAAGGGATAATGGCCAGAAACTTCCCTAACCTAGGGAAGGAAAAAAACAAACAAACAAACATCCAAAACAAACTTCCAATATGGAAGTCCAAATTGTTCCAAATAATATGAATCCAAAGAGACCCACAACAAATACGTTATAATTAAAATGTCAAGAGCTAAAGACAAAAAGAAAATATTAAAGACAGCAAGAGAAAAAAATTTGGTATGTATGCAGGAACTCTCATAAGACAATCAGCAGATTTATCAGTAGAAACTTTGCAGGCCAGAAGGGAGTAGCACAATATATTCAAAGTGCTGAAAGAAAAAAAATTTCCAAACAAGAGTACTCTACCCAGCAAGGTTATCACTCAGAATTGAAGAAAAACAGAATTTTCCAGGCAACCAAAGCCAAAGGAGTTCATCACCTCTAAACCAGCCTTACAAGAAATGTTAAAGGGCCTTCTTTGGGTTGAAAAGAAAGGCACTAATTAGTAACAAGAAAACATGTAAAAGTATAAATCTCACTGGTAAAGGTAAATATATGCTAAAGGGAGAGGATTAATCACTTATGACAATAGTAGGAAGGTTAAAAGACAAAAATAGTAAAAATAAATGTAACTACAATTAAGTTACCCAAAAGATAAAAAGTTGTAAAATGTGACATGAAAAGCATAAAACACACTGGTGCAGGAAGAGTAAATATGTAGAGTTTTACAATGAGTTCAAAATTAAGTTGTTATCAGCTTAAAACACAGTTATAAATATATATTGTTATATGTAAGCCTCATGGTAACCACAAAACAAAAACCTGTAATAGATACACAGCAGATAATAAAAAAGGAACCCAAGCATACTGCTACAGAAAGTCATCAAACCACAAAGGAAGAACAAGAGAGAGGAGGGAACAAAGGAACTACAAAACCACCAG